TTTTAGTCTTGTGGGTGTTTTTGTTTTTGTTTGTTTGTTTTGTGTGTGTAAGTTTTTTTGTTTGTTTGTTTTTACGCCTTTGAACCAGGTCTAGTGGGAAACCTAAGATGCACTTTTTTCTCTGAACCTTAAAACTTCAGCACCAGCCCTTGGCCAAGCAATCACCCACTCCTTTGAGTTACTTAAAAGATTGGCACCTTGCTAGAGATTCACTATACTAATTTAATTATTAAGCACCTGGAGTCGAACACCTGAGCTCCAATCCCAACACCACCACTTATTAGCTACTTATTAGCTGTGTGCACCCGGCCAAGGTCATTAACCTGTCAAAGCCTCCTCTTTAAAATGGAGATAGTGATACAGAGCACCCTCATTGGGTTAGATTGATTGAGATAAAACATACAAAAGACTTGCCCAGAGCCTAACCCCAAGAAGCCCTCAATAAACGTAATTATTATTTTCAGAGGGTAAAACTGCCCCAAGGCTGGGAGCACTATACCTGAGGATTCTTGCAATAGGTTATCATTAAAGCCAAAGTCAAACACTATGATCCTGAATGTCAATTGTAATTGGAAAAAAAAAATTTTCTTAAAAAGCCAAAGTCAAAGACTTTGGTGTCTGGATTTGTGGACACTATAAATAACTAATAATAATAATAATAATAATAATAATAATAATAGGGTAACACCAACCAGAATCATAACCTGTCACAGGACCTCTTACTGACCTCTCATTGCCCAGACGCTGTCCTAACCTAAAACAGGAAGGCAAGGCTGCTGAACCCAAAAAAATAAAAATAAAACTGCAGAATGTTTTCCACCCTCCTTTTTTTTTTTAAATACCATCATTGGTGCCCAAGTTTTGCTAAAAACAGACATCTCCAAGGACTGCAGATTTAACGTGTAATTTCTCCATGCCCCAGAGGTGGGGCCGCCGGGAAGGGATGAGGGGGTGGCGCTCGGCCCCCCCACCCCCTGCCAGATGGAAAAGCCACACCAAGTGGAGAAAACAGCCGAGGTCAGGACTGACCCCCAAATCCAAATCCGAGGCCAGCAGCCCGGGAGGGGGGAATGGAAGGCTCCGCTTTCGAAATAACCTCTAAACAAGTGTCATCTGTCTTCCGGGCCAATCCGCTGCCCAGGCAGAAGGTCCGGGTGCGATTCCAGAAGCCCTTGTCCCCTCTGTCCCTCCACCTTCCCCCGGAATCACAGTCCCCCTTGGGGGCGGGGTGACGGGGTGACGGGGTGACGGGGGTGGCGGGGTGACGGGGGCAAAGGCCGCCGCCAGCCAGGCCGGGCTCTCCCGCCGGCCGGCGCCCGCCCCTGAGGCCGGGGCCACGGGGCCCTCCGTCCCGGCTCGCGGGCACCCGGGCCAAGGGCTGAGGAAGGCTCGGGGACCCGGCGGCGGCGCCCTGGGGTGGGGTGGGGGCAACAGGTCCGGCCCCGGCCCTGACCCCCCGGGGCCGAGCGCAGGGGGGAGAGGGTCGTCCGGGGCGGCGCAGGGCACGGAGTCCCAGCTCCATCTTGAGGCGGCGGCGGAGGAAGGAGGGCGGGCGAGGCGCCGCCGCAGGGCCGGCCTCGGTCCCGGCTCCCCCCCGGGGAAGCACCCCGGGGAACCGCGGGCCTCCAAGGCCGTCCCCACCCTCGGAGCTCTCGGGCCCCCTTGGGGGCGGCCCGGCGCGCGGACCCGGGCCCCTCGCAGACTCCGGCCGGCCCGGCGCGGGCCCCGCACGGCCGGCGGGGCGCGGGGAGGAGGGCAGGGAACGGACAGGGCCCCACTCACCGCCGGCCGCCGCCTCTCTCGCCGCCAGTCGCCACCACCTGCACCTCAGCAGCCGCCGCAGCCGCAGCAGCAGCAGCCGCCGCCGCCGCCTCCCGCCTCCCGGCTTGTAGGCGCGGGGCGGAGCGGGCGGGGCGGGGCGGGGCGGGGCAGGCATGACGCGTCGCCGCAGGGCGGGGCCTGGCGGGGCGGGATCAGCGTGACGCAACGCAGAGGGGCGGGACCTGACTGGTTGAGGGCGGGGCCAGCGTGACGCAACGCCGCGGGGCGAGGCCGGGCGCGCGCCGCGGGCACCAGACGCCGGGGCGGTTCCTCCCGCGCGCGCCCCGCCCTCGGCCGCCCGGCGCCCCTGCCCCGCGTACCCCGCCGCTTTGTCTGCACCCGCCGCCACCCGGGGACCCGAGCCGGGACCCCAGGACCCCGCGCCCGCGGCCCTGAGTCAGGAGGAAGGCGCGAAGGACCCCGAGGGGCCTGCGCCCCGGCTGCTCGGCATTGCTGTTCCGCATTTCAGCCCCAGAATGTGCGAGTCACACCCCACGCCCCGTCCAGCCTGGACCCCGGCCAGTTAATCGGTTCAAGCGCGGCTCGGCCTCCCCCTCCCTCTTCTCCCCCCGCCACCCCATCCCCCAGCCTCCCCGGGCGAGAGATTCTTTGAAAGAATCGAGGAGGAGGTGCGGAGGCTCCGCTTGCTCCGAGTGGGGAGCATCCTATGTCCCTCCGGGGAAGATCGGGGTGAGGACTCCCGGGGGAAAGGCTGAAAGGGAAGCCTGCGAAGCGCCCCGAAAAGACCGAGGGCTGAAAGGAGCCCAGCACTTCCTCCGCGCGTCTGAGAAAGGCCTCTTTGATTCGCCCCTGCCGCTTGGCCTGGAGCCCTGGTTCATGTCCTGTCCCCTTCTCCTCCCCCCAGCCCTCCTCCTCCTAGGGATCTCTTTTGAAAAGCTTTGGAGAGAGACCGGAGGGGTGACAGCGACAGCCCGCTCCGGGCTGGTACAGCAGAGGGCGGCGGCATTTCACTCCCATGGACCATGGCAACCCCAGAAGCTTTGCAGCCCCCGGGAGGGAATGGCAGCTGTCAGGATTGTGCAGCGGCTCAGCAGCGGATGAGGGAGCCCGGCTTCCTCCTCCTGCCGCGTGGGAGAGAAGAATCCGGAGGGTGACCCCTCTGCTGACCTTTATTCAAAGCGCGGTGCTGCTGCACGGAGCAGGGGAAGGGAACTACAGGGCAAAGGCGCGACCGGGGGCCCCTCCTCGCCATTCACCTTGTAAATCCCCCCCAAAAAAACCTGCTGTTTCCTGATTCAACACCACCCTGGTTGGGAGGTCCAAGTGCTGGTGGCAACCCCTGAAATCCAGCATCCACAGTCCACATCTGAAAGGCACACCTCCCCACATCTAAACACTTTCCAGCTCTAACAGGCAACCCGTGTAAGAATCGAAGATGCCACAGAGTAAGGCAAGGACCACTGCTACCTAATGGCAGTGGGTGCAGCTATAACCACTTCTGTTTATTTCTCTTCTGCTCTGCTCATTCTTTTTTTTTTTTTTTTAATATATTTTATTGATTTTGTACAGAGAGGAAGGGAGAGAGATAGAGAGCTACCGGTAGAAACATCAATGAGAGGGAGTCATCGATCAGCTGCCTCTTGCACACCCCCACCCCCACTGGGGATATGTCCGCAACCAAGGTACATGCCCCTGTCCGGAGTCGAACCCAGGACCCTTCAGTCCGCAGGCAGACGCTCTATCCACTGAGCCAAACCAGTTTCCACTGCTCTGCTCATTCTGCGGAACAGGTGCCTGCAGAGCTGAGCAGATGAAATCTGAGCCTCAGAACCTGAAGAAGGAGTGGGTGACTACCCTCTGGACTGCACCCCCAGACCCACATACATCCCCCCAGACACAACCCTCTACCCCCCAAAATAACCATCTTCCAGAGGCAGCCCAGCCCAGGCCAGGGGAAGGGGGGTTCTGAGGGTAAGAGAGGCAGGATGGGCCCGGCCAGCATGGCTCAATGGTTGAATGTTGACTTATGAACCAGGAGAACACAGTTCAATCCCCCCCAGGGCACATGCCCAGGTTGCAGGCAGGGTTGATCTCCAGTGTGGGGGTGTGCAGGTGTGCAGGAGGCAGCCAATCAAAGATTCTCTCATCATTGGTGTTTCTCTCTCTTCCTCTTCCTCCCTCTCTGAAATCAATAAAAATATATTAACAGCAAAATATACATAGATATTTTAATATTTTTTATTGATTTTTTACAGAAAGGAAGGGAGAGGGACAGAGAGCTAGAAACATTAATGAGAGAGAAACAATGACCAGCTGCCTCCTGCACACTCCCTACCGGGGACGTGCCTGCAACCAACGTACATGCCCCTGACCGGAAGCAAACCCGGGACCCTTCAGTCCGCAGACCGACACTCTATCCACTGAGCCAAACCGGTTTCGGCAAAATATACATATATTTTAAAACAAGGTGCCATACAGCGTGCACAATATGTAAAATGGTGGTCTGTGAGATCCAAAAGCTTGGCAACCGCTGTACTAGAGGCCCAGTGCATGGACTCGTGCACCAGTGGGGGCCCTCAGCCTGGTCTGTTTCCTCTTGCAAACCCAAAACCGGCAGTTTGACATCCCCAAGGGATAAAATATATTTTTTAAAAAGAAAGAAAAGAAAAGAAAGGCAGAGCCACAGGTTGGGATCTGGGGCAGGGAAGAGGGTGGTTCCCAGAACAAGAGCCTTTCCACATTCAAGAGTCTGGAAGACAACTCTTAGGCAGGATGACGGCTCCATGCCAACAGTGCTGAGACAACAGGGGTGAACAGGGGTGAGGGGCGGGGCAGGTTATCACAAGGAAGATCCAGTTTGCGTTTCTAGGCCTTGGACACTGGGTGTCACGAAAGGCAGTTGAGAGCCTGGTGTGGCTGCTCTGGGACCCACAGTAGCAACACGTGGTAGAGACTCGGGTGCCTGCTGTGTCAGTGAGCGGAGGAAAGGCTGAGTCAGCAGGAGGAAGCACTGAGCCCTGACTGAACCAAGACAGAGCATATGTTAGGAACAGACGCCAAGCAAACAATCACTGGGCCCCAGAACCAGGACATCCGCCCACAGAGAGCACAGCTGTGCCTGACACTGCTCATTGTCTGCTCAAGATCATCGCCCCCTTTTTTACTTAAACAGAATTATACCTGACACAGCAACGTGCCAATCACTCCCGCTCACGTACTCAGACCTTACCCGGGAAGGCTGGCTTAGAGGTACTCTGGGAAGGCTTTTCCTTCCCTGCTGAACGGACACAGACACGGATAATAGGAGCTGGAGTGGAAGCAGCCATGTTGTTAACCGGAGGCCATGAGCATAAAGACAAAAGACAGCCGGCCAAGGTGGCAGAACGGGACAATTGAAAGAACAGGATTCCTCTCCTGGGAAGAGAGCTATTTTTCTGGGGGCAAATATTTGATAAGAAGCAAAACAGAACTACTTAGAACAATAAAATAAATATTCAAGGGCTAACAGACTGGTTAAAAAAGGAACTCGATGAAGAAAATAGAAATGGCCTTAGCTGGTTTGGCTCAGTGGATAGAGTGTCAGCCTTGAGACTGCAGGGTCCCAGGTACCATTCCGGTCAAGGGCACAGGCCAGGGTTGTGGGCTTGATCTCTCTCATCATTGATATTTCCATCTCTCTCTCCTTCTTTCCTTCCTCTATAAAATCAAATAAAAATATATCTAAAAAATAAAATAGAAACAGCTACTGAGCATTTGTACGTTTTACTATCGATTGCCTGTGTTTTACTCCAAATTCCTCAGAAAATGTACCTTACTGGTAATGCTCTTTGTGAACTTGAATTTGCTTTTGGAAGATATCACATTGTTCTTTTTTTTTAAAATTTTTATTCTAACAGTTTTTATGATTTGTGGCTTTTGATCTAATATGTAAGCCTAGAACACTTTAAGATATATTTTTAATTGATTTTGTACAGAGAGGAAGGGAGAGAGAGAGTCATCGATCAGCTGCCTCTTGCACACCCCCTACTGGGGATATGCCTGCAACCAAGTACATGCCCTTGACTGGAATCGAACCCTGGACCCTTCAGTCCCCAAGCCCACCACACTCTATCCATTGAGCCAAACGGGTTTTGGCAACCACATAGTTCTGAGTCCTGCTCCAAGGTAGACGAGGTCGGCTGTGTCTATTGCTGTATTCATATGAATAAGATTCAATTTGTGTCAATGTTTAATTTTTTTTTTGTGTTAATCCTCACCTAGGGGTATTTTTCCATTGATTTTTAAAAAAATTTTTTTTTGAGAGAGAGAATGGGTTGGAGGGGGAAAGATAGAGAGAAGCATCAATGTGAGAGAAACACATCATTGATTGCCTCCCAAAGGTACCCTGACTAGGGCTGGGGATTGAGCCTGCAACTGAGGTATATGCCCTTGACTGGAATCGAACCCTGGACCCTTCAGTCTGCAGACCGACGCTCTACCACTGAGCTAAACCGGCTTCGGCCTGTTTGTGTTTTTGTCTTGCTTCCTCATGGTCCATGATGCCCGCTGAGACTGTCAGCACAATGAAACCAAGCTGACGGGACGGAAGCAAGTGGTTCTGCCCTTTTTCTAGATCTTTGAGTGGCACATCACACCTGGGGCAGATTACACCACACTCGTTCAACCTGCCTGTGAGGGTCACAACTATTTTCCCAGCTCTGTGGTCATCCATCGTTTCAAATTCGCCAACGTAACTGTGCTTCACCATCACAGTCAGACACCGGCCGGCGGCTTTGGAGCACGGCCTGATGAGGACCTGGCAGTGGCCTCGCTTTTCGGCGTTGTTGATGCTCTTCAGAGCATCAGCCAGGACATTCATGCGCACCATTGTGGCGGCACAGGCCGATGGCGGAAAGAGCCAAACCAATTTTATTTTTTTTTATTTTTTATTTTTTCAACATATTTTTTTTTATTCTTAACAGAGAGAAAGGGAGAGAGATAGAGAGCTAGAAATGTCGATGAGAGAGAAACATCGACCAGCTGCCCCCTGCACATCCCCTACCGGGGACGCGCCCGCAACCAAGGCACATGCCCCTGACCGGAATCGAACCCGGGACCCCTCAGTCCGCAGACCGACGCTCCACCACTGAGCCAAACCGGCTTCGGCCCAAACCAATTTTAAATCATACTTGCTAGACTACACAGATTGCAGTAAGTGATTGGTGCACGAACATGCTCAGTTAAAGAACCTTCATCTCTGTAAAAAATTTACAGATTTAACAATACATCGCTCGAAACATACATAACAGTCTTAAAAGACAAAAAGCCACAATATGTTGTCGCTCATCCAAAGAGGAGGAGTTTCTTTTCCCACTGTTGAATCTGAGCTGTCTTCCTGACTTGTAATATTATCAATGGATAGAGATCGATGCTCTTGTGGAACTTAAATTCTAGTGGGGGAAGGCAGACAATAAACAATAAATTATATAATAGTAGAAAGTACTATGGAAAAGTGCAGATCAAGGGAGATTGGGAGTGATTGGATGGCGTGTGTGTGTGTGTGTGTGTGTGTGTAGACTTTTAAATCATGTGGTCAGGGTAGTGTCACTGAGAAGTTGAAATTTAAGCCCAGACCTGCGGGAGGTGAGGATACATGGATTTCAAGGGGAAAGTGGTTCAAGCAAGAAAACAGACAGAGCAAATGCCCCAAGGCCGGCCTGAGCTATCTCTGCTCTGGCTGCTCTAATCAGAGGACCATCAGAGGAACCTGTAATGTGAGATTCTTTATGTGTGTGTGTGTGCGTGTATGTGTGTTTTCATTTTCTGGTTTTTTTTTGTTAGTGTGTGTGTGTGTGTGTGTGTGTGTGTGTGTTTGTAATGTGAGATTCTTTTTTTAAATATATTTTATTTATTTATTTATTTATTTATTTTTTTTACAGAGAGGAAAAGAGAGGAACAGAGAGTTAGAAACATCGATGAGAGCCGAAACTGGTTTGGCTCAGTGGTTCTAGAGCATCGGCCTGCTATCTCTGTCCTGATCTTTTTTAAAAATATATACATTTTTATTCATTTTAGAGATGAAGAGAGAGAGAGAGAAACATCAGTGATGAGAGTCATTGATTGGCTGCCTCCTGCACACCGCACACTGGGGATTGAGCTCACAACCCGGGCATATGCCCTGAACCTTCTGGTTCACAGGTGTATGCTCAACCACTGAACTACGCTGACAGGTCCTGCCCTGATCTTTGATTCCCTGAATCATGCAACCGTATTAGCTCTGAACAACCTTCATAGAGAAGGACCTCTACATTCTTCTGTATACTAGTCTATAAAACCTTTAAATTGGACCAATACGAAAAGCAGAAGAACTGGGATTGGTTCAGAGAGTCAAAGTCAGGACAGGCATGGAGAGAGTGTGGTGAGAACAGAAGGACATTTGTTTGAAGCCCGTGAGAAATTTGCCCTGGGTCTAATCCCACAACCTATCCTAGTCCAGTTTCACGTGTCATTCCCCAATTATGACTAACGAACTGGCTGCCACGACTGAAAACGTGAACAATTCACCCCAGTATGATGGCACCCCTCCAAAAAAGCAATCTTGCCTGTCTAGAACCATAGAAAGCCGAGTCAGGATCTGCCAGTTGCATTTTCAGTGAGTCCTTGTATTACAAACACGCCACATGGAGTCAGATTGTTAATAGTTAATTTTGTTTAGAAAATGCACTTTTATGCCCTGGCTGGTTTGGCTCAGTGGATAGAGCGTCAGCCTGCAGACTGAAGGGTCCCAGGTTTGATTCCGGTCAAGGGCATGTACCTTGGTTGCAGGCACATCCCCCGTGGGGGGTGTGCAGAAGGCAGCTGATCAATGTTTTCAAGTCTCTATCCCTCTCTCTTCCTCTCTGTAAAAAATCAATAAAAATATATTTTTAAAAAAATAATAGATTTGTCCAGCCAACATGGCTCAGTGGTTGAGCATCTATGAACTAGGAGGTTATGGTTTGATTCCTGGTCAGGACACATGCTCAGGTTGTGGGCTTCATCCCCAGTAGGGTTGGGGGCCGATCAATGATTCTCTCTCATCATTGATATTTCTATCTCTCTCCCTTCCTCTCTGAAATCAATAAAAATATAAAAATAAAAATAAAAATATTTCAGCTCGGCTAGTCTGGCTGTGGTTGAGCATCAACCTATGAACCAGCAAGTTATGGTTCGATTCCCAGTCAGGGCACATGTCCAGGTTGCATGCTCAGTCCCCAGTCGGGGGCCTGCAGGAGGTAGCTGAGCAAATGATTCTCTCTTATCATTGCTGTTTCTGTCCCTTCCTCTCTAAAATCAATACAAAATATTATATTAAAAAAAGAATAATAGGTTTCAAATACTGACAAGGAAAGTGTAGCATAATCTTATTTTTATTAAAACATAAGACTTACATATACAAAATATTTTAAAAAAAAATCTTAGTATTTGCTCACAAAGAGATATACCAAACTGTGAACAACGAGCAATGGAACTGAAACTTGTGATTATATATTTCGGACAGCTGTCACTTTTGATATCCCAATATATCCAGCTAGATTGCTGAAGACTTACAAAGCATGCTTGTTCATAGACTTCTGATTTATTAAGAATATAGTCATGGTTCTGTAATTGAAAACTATACATACTTTAACAAAATAATTTAATCCTAAACATTTAAAAGTGAACTTATACCACTATTTCACACAAATATTGAAGGAAAAAGGAATTCTAAACACAGCTTGTGTGGACCTGGGTTCTTGGGAACAGAGTCATCCTTACAAGCTCCGTGGGTGTCCACCGTTGTTACCACACCCTTGTTTGTTTTACCTTCTAGTGATAATCCACACAGAAGGGAACAATGATCCCCGCAGAGAACTTGAAGAACAGAACCAACTGGGAGGAAACTTCTTGTTGGTAGAAGGTAGACTGAACCTTTGACCACTTCAAGAAATGCAATCTTCCGAAAAGAGAAATCTGTCATTCGGTATTTTAGCAAGGCTTTCTACTTACCTGTGCACGGAAGGAGGTGATAAGGAGTTGGCTTTGTTTTAGCAGCCTGTGTATTACAGCTCACATTCCTTTCAGGCAAAGATTAGGAACAGGTCCCCACCCCTCAGCCAAGTCCATCCTGAAGTACAAGTGTTTGGCTATGACCTCACCTACCGCACCCGGAGCCCTGTCACAGCATGGACAAGTCCCAACAAGGCCTGGAGCCTCCATCCGACATTCTTCATATGCTCAGACACGGCCCAGAGAATACGTTTTGAAAATGGGGCACCTTCGGAAGGCACCTGCTTCCCATTTTCTTGGGTCCCCTTCTATACAATGTCTCCTTTCCCATTTATTCGGAATTCTGCTTCAGGATTTCTCTTCCAAAAACGCCCCTTGGATGTTTTCAATTAGGTCACTGCACTGATAAATCTTTAGACCATTTTCCCTAATAAAATTCAAACCCCATAGTAAAGCAGCAAGAGTTCTTACATCAGTGAATAAACCTTTTTTTTTTTTTTAATATATTTTATTGATTTTCCACAGAGAGGAAGAGGGAGAGAGAAACATCGACCAGCTGCCTCCTGCACACCCCCCATTGGGGATGTGCCCGCAACCAATGTACATGCCCTTGACCGGAATTGAACCTGGGACCCTTCAGACCACAGGCTGATGCTCCATCCACTGAGCCAAACCGGTTTTGGCTGAATAAACCTTTTTAAAATATATATATTTTATTGATTTTTTACAGAGAGGAAGAGAGGGGTAGAATTAGAAACATGGAGGAGAATCATTGGATCAGCTGCCTCTTGCACAACCCCTACTGGGGATGTGCCCACAACCAAGGTACTTGCCCTTGACCGGAATCAAACCTGGGACCCCTCAGTCCGCAGGCTGGTGCTCTATCCACTGAGCCAAACCGGTTTTGGCAAACAAAGTCTTTTTTTTTTCTTCTACCATCGTACAATTCTTGAGTGTCTGCTTATTTTTGTTTGTAATGATTTTTAAAAAAATATATTTTATTGATTTTATACAGAGAGGAATTGAGAGGGACAGAGAGTTAGAAATGTCGATGAGAGAGAAACATCGACCAGCTGCCTCTTGCACACCCTCCACTGGGGATGTGACTGCAACCAAGGCACATGCCCTTGACCGGAATCGAACCCAGGACCCCTTAGTCCGCAGGCCGACGCTCTATCCACTGAGCCAAACTGGTCCCGGCTGTTTTTAATGATTTTTAAAAATTGATTTTACAGAGAGGGAGGGAGAGCGAAAGAACAATCTATTTGAGAGAAACATTTCCATATATAAACTCAAAACTCAGGTATATGGCCTGATCAGGAGTCGACCGGCAACCTTTCCGTGCACAGTATGACACTCCACTAAGCCACTCCAGGCCCAGCAAGTATCTGCTTGTTTAAATCAGGTGATTTCCTGTTCATTTTGATGCTCATTATCCATGGAAATCCTCCTACCTACCCTTAAGGATTAGCTCAAAGGCTCTCTTTCCAGGAGTCTTCCAATACCTCCCACAGGAACTTAAACCCACGGCCCGGAGAGTTTGAAGCCAGTGCTTCTCCCACCCCAAAATAACCCAGTACCTTCCCTCCTCACATGGCCCCTTAGTGAACCTCAGAACTAAGAAGGAACCATTCATCACTTTCTCCCACTAGTGTATAAGCTCCTTAAAGCAGATTCTAGCCCTGGCTTGTTTGGCTCAGTGGATAGAGTGTTGGCCTGTGGACTGAAGGTTCGATTCCAGCCGAGGGCCCATGCCCGGGTTTCGGGCTTGATCCCCAGTAGAGGGCATACAGGAGGCAGCTGATCAGTGAGTCTCATCATTGATGTTTCTCTCTCTCTCTCTCTCTCTCTCTCTCCCTTCTTCCTTAAAATCAAGAGGAATATTTTGGA